CCACGCTGCTGGGGGTGCAGCCCAGGTAGGAGTTGTTTTTTGTGCTGAGAACATCAGCTCCTGTGCAGCTTTTCACCCCCAAGTCCTCCCCAGGGCTGCTGTTCATCCCCAGCCATGCTCAGGACCTTGCGTTTGGCTTTGTGGGATCTCCTGAGGTTCACACAAGCCCTCTTCTCCAGCTTGCCCAGCCCTCTGGGTGACATCCCACCCTTCCCTTACCATGGTGTCATCTGCAAACCTGCTGAGGATGTGCTCAATCCCACCAAAAAAACAATCACCCTTCTCTCTGCCAGCACCTAGAAAAGCCTGAGAGAAACAAACACTTTAAGGATGGGGCATTTAAGGATGGAGAAGTCTTCCTCTTCTTATTTCCATGTCTTCAGGTCTTGCTTTGGCACTGGCGATAGGGCTGGATGAACCCATCACGTCCTCACAAGGGTGTGAGGCAGGGACAAGTGCTGCCCACTGAGTTGTCTGTGCCATGGGAATGGTCACCACTGAGCTGGCCAGGCAGCGCTCTGAGGGCAGCCACTTCTCAGTTTGGAAACTGGGGGCCTGGGCTCTTCCCCTGTGTGCTGCCAGAGCCAGGGGATGCTGCTCCTGGAGCTCTGGAGCCTGATGTGGAAGAAAAGCAGCAGAAGGAAAACCTGGTGTCTCCACACACGGGCAGAAGTGGCCGTGTGTTGTAGCAGGTGAACTTTAAATGACAAACATGCCAGGCAACAGCATCACAAGGTGGTTCCATGCCACAAACCTGAAGGAACATCTCAAAACAGAAAGCAGGCTTGTGTTATATGTAGGTTTTCTTCTGCTCTTTGAGGAAGGTGGTCCTTGCTGATGGTGAAACCATCATGTGCTTGGAGGAGGTACTTCTAATTGTCTCAGGTGTAGAAGCAAAGCCTTTTCTCATGGTATTCTTATTTTCTTATGGTTTTTCTCTAGGGAGTGAGGGGAATGACCCTCTCAAGCTGAAAGGAACTAGGTTTACTTAAACATTTTGAGAGCATTTGATAAAAGGTGACATTTGAAGCACCAAATATTATTAAATTTTACTGCTCAGGACTATTGTTGTTGTGATGTTCCACCACTGGATGTATTTAAGACCAGGTTGGATAGGGCACAGCCTGGTCTAGTGGGAGGTGCCCCTGCCCATGGCAGGGGGGTTGGAACTAGATGACCTTTCAGGTCCCTTCCAACCCAAACCATTCTATGATTATTGGGCCATACAGAGAGGCCCCATGTTTATGAACTCAACTTTATATTTTTGAACACCAGCATGTGGAAGTTAAACAGAAATGTATTGACATCAAACACCTTTAGGTTTGCTTTTCAGAAATATTTAACTCCTTGCAGGTTATGGCCTCTGGAGACTTTAAAAAGGCCAAAAAAAAATCATCACTTTGGAGATTTTGACCACTTGTTATGAGGTCTGGCCTATTGTGATTGTAGTTGGGTTTTACCTGCTGGTTTTTAGTTCTATCACAAACAGTTCTTAGCTGTAAGCAGTAGCTTTAATTCAAGAGCAGAACTTGATACTGGGGTTATTCATGTGAATCCAGACAGTCAATAACTTCTTCCTCTGAGGTAACCAGATAAGCAGTAAGGTTAAATACTAACAAAAATTATCATGAACCCATAGAGAATGCAATGTTGTTTTTTTTTTCTAATATTTACTGAATTACTTGCCTGGGAAACGGGTCTTAGTTTGGCTCTCATGGCTGGTTCTAAGCCTCCTCTTACCAATACTCCTGAGACTCTCTGGTTAACTTTGTGGCACAAAATACTTAATTATGTGCTCTGCCAAGTGAATAGAAGGTCTCCAACTGAATTTCAGCCTTCCTGGGCTACTATTTTAGACACTTTGGTCGAATGTAGATGCATATTTTCTGCATGCCAGATCCCGTCCCCATATCCATCAAAGTAAATCTTCAGTAGTTCCACCAAAGGCTTGGAACAATCCTAAGTTATGTTACTGAGGTCAGATTGTGACCCTGGAGCTTTGGCAGAGACCCAAACCAAGAAATTTGTGTGGGAAATTGGGGAGGGAATAAAGCACTTGCCTGTGCTTTTTGTGGGAGTCAGCTGTGACAAAGGTGTGAGCTCAGATGAAAGCTCTTAATCCTGGTGGATGTTTTTTTCCAGCTGTTTCTGCTGGAAATAGCTCTCTGTGTGTGTGTATGGGATGGGTCCTGATTTTCTGATGGTGCTCTGCCTCAGACAACAATTTTTTCTTCTCCCTATCCCCCTTCCTTCCAAAGAAAAATCACTAATTCTTGTAAAAATAACGTGCAGGGGTAGGTTCTAGTTTCGGGTGGGTTTGAATTTAAACCTTGATTTTCTCTCTCTGACAAAAAAAGAGCAGCAGGTCTAAATATTATTGGGCAGTTGTGGTTGTCACGTTGCACATTGTATGGTGGAAAAGAATGAATTGGTGTTTTTTCACCCCAGGGTTTGAGCAGCAGTCCCTGTGCCTGGCGGGGAGGATGTCATCTCCCTCCAGCAGCAGAAAGGATTCCTGTGCAGCTGCAGGGGGTGAGTGGGCGGGTGCCTCCTTCCCCAACAACATCTCATTTACACAGCCCTGGAAACCTAGGGCTATAAATAAACAGTTCTGGCTGACTTTGTGTGCTTACTCGAAATAAAAACGAGAGGGAAACAAGACTGGAAAGAGAAATGTGGGACCCAGCTCCTCTCTGCAGGTTGTGACAGAGAGCAGAGCCTCTCCTGAGCCCTCTGCCAAGAAACAGCCCGTGCCACCACCCTGCTCAAACCCCTGTGGCCCAGCAGCAGGGTCACCACGCCAGATCCTGGAGGTAATCCCCATTCAGCTCCTCTGCTACTCCTCCATGTCAGAGCCCAGGCTTTTAGAGTTTCTGACTTTACCCTGTTTGCATTGGATTATCAGTACAAATTAAAGCAATTTAAAAAAAAAAAAAAGAGAGAAAAAAATACCCCACAAAACTGTACAGGATGTCTCCTGAACTTTCTCTTCTTCCCTAATTCCCTTCATGGTTTTTCTTCTCTCTGCTTCTTGGAAATATTCCCTTTGACATGCATCTTTCAGCTGAATTCTTTCCATGTTCTCCTTTAGCTTCACCAGCAGAGGAGGGGGTTGGTGGTACAATTGCTGATGAACCCTTGATGGAGTGAGCTGGGGTGAGTTATCTGGATAAACTGGGAATTATTGAATGTGTGCATGTCTTTCACTGAGGTAACTTAGTTTATAGTCTAGCCCTAGTGTGTTAACTTCCCAGACTAGAATTTTATCAGGTGCTTGACATGTGAGAAGAACAATCTTATGTATACACATTATTTCTTTATTGCTCACAGGCAGCCCACAGTGTGTTTCCTTTTCACTAAGCTCCAGCAGCACTGGAAAGATGAAAATAACCCCCCCTGGTGAACTGCAGTGCACAGTAGCCCTAAGCCAGGGGTTTTGGCAACGAAGGTGGAGTTTAGACATTTTAAGTGGTGCAAATAGTTTCAAATCCCCATTTAAATGCCAGGCTAATAACAGAGATCTTTCCTTTTCATGCTGACCATTAAGGAACACTTCTGCTGCTGTTGGTGTTGCTTGTTTATTGGAGTTTGCAAAGCAGATCTCCAGTGTTGTAGACTGTTAACAAGATGTTGAGACTAATAACAGAAATCAACTATATTGAGCAAGATTAGTAAACATGTGAATGGAGTGTAATTATATGGCAGGCAGCTTTATGTTAAACAGTGCTTTAAATTAACATGCTTTCTGTCAAAGCAATCATGCAGTCAGTATAATTAGGTTACTTTTGCTGCAAGATTAACTGAAACCAAGGAAAAGGAAGAAAGTGTGGCATTTACATTTTCTGTTAACATGGAGGGGAGCTATTATGCCTATTAATATTCCAGAATGGTTCTTGTTAGGAGAACTTGGCTTCGTGGTGAACTTTCTGAGCAGACATTCCTAATTACAGTCCTTGTTAGCCCAATTTGTTATCTAGCTAGCTTGGAAGTCACGGCGCTGTTAAAATTACCCCTCCTCTTAATTTTTTCCAGACTTGATGAAGGGCAATCCAAACAAGAGCTGGCTTGTGTTCACAGGGCTTTTACAGAGTGGTGCCAAGCTCACGAGGGAGTTCATCTACCAGTGATGTGTTTTACCCATGGACATGTCCTCACGTAGGTTGTGCAAGAGAGGAGAAATCTGTGTAAACAGATGAACAGAATTTTCTTATTCACAGCAGTTGCTGAGTTATCATATAAGAGGCAAACATTTCACATTTCCTGCCCGTTTTCCATATGTCTGATGACATAATGGCTTCACCAGAAGCTGCAATGCATTGGAGAAAGGGTTTATCACAGCTGCATTTGTGTTCCTCTACTTCCTGGCTTCAGCATTCGTGGAGGGATTGGCTTGAAGAGGAGGACTCACTTGCCTTTCCTCCTGTAGTCCAGTATTGCTATTGAATCTCCTGTTTGGAGGCAGAGGAGAAGAGATTAGCAGATAAAAAAGGCACAGCAGAGAAATTCTCTCACAGGCTGAGCTGTTGGGAGGAGGATGTGAACCTGGCCCCAGGCTCCCGACGTCCCCAGGGACCCGAAGGCATGTGGGAGTGGCTTGGGCCAGCTGCTGATGCTCATGTGCTGCAGGAGTCCAGTGAGCCTGGGATGTCCCCAGCAAGTAAGAGGTTGTTCCACGACTGAGGAGTGATTTGGAATCTACTGTGGGCCACATCCCTGGGGAATAACAGTGCTTTGCTAGTGGAGAAAGTATCTGCCACCAAACAAACTTGGTGTTAGGGATACGTGGAAAGCTTTCACAGTAAAGCCTGTCTGGAGAGGCAGAAGATGATGAATCCCTGCAGCTAAGGTATCTGGAGCATCCTCAGGTCAGCACAGGTCTTACTGAAGCCCCACAACTCTCTGAAGCCCCAGATTTGCTACTGTGGGGCACCAAGTGTGCAACAACCAGATATATTTGAGTCCCTTACCTAGTGCAGTGGCTCAGGCTCTCCTCTTCCTTGTTAATGACCGTTTACCCACAGGGAACCCTCTCCTTGTCCCCAGAAGGACCTCAGAGGCTCTGGAACACTCATGGCTGTGTTTATTTTCCTGCACAGCCTTTGGCAACTGACCTGATAGGGAAGGAGACCCTGGCATTTCCTCTTCCCAAAGGATTTTGCAATGACTGGATAGAGATTTTAAAGACGGGGCAGAAAAAAATCCACCAAAAAAAAGAGCCCAGACAAGCCTGTGAGGGGAAGGCCAGAGTATTAGCCAGCACCTGTTAATGGCTGGCCTCCAGCAGTGAAACTCTAAGCCCTGGGTTGCCAGAGCTTCCGCTCCTGTGTGTCTCCAGTGAATCATCAGATGAACTTGTCAGGGAGAGCAGAGCCTGTGACAGATGGTGCAGGTTGCCTTGAAATAGCTGGAGCCCTCTGCCCAGGAGGGAAACTGCAGCTTGGGGGAGTGACAAACACAGAAGATATAAACACCCCCCTTGTGGCACAACCAGGATGAATGGATGGGCCAGGAGTGAATATTTCTATTTAATCTGCAAACTCGGGGCTGTAAATCCTCTTCAATCTGAGTTCTGTTTGTCACTGGCAATATAGTGAAATTGTGGATAGAAATATTACTTGGTCGTTGAAAGAAATAGATGTGTCCTGGATTCTTATGCTTTGTTTTTGAAGGCAAGGTAGAACAAATGAAGATATCTTCTGGAAAGGAACTTTAAAAAAAAGGTAAAAGTTTAAAAAAAAAAAAGGAAAAGTTTAAAAAAAGGTAAAAGTTTTTTTAAAAAAGGAAAAGTTTAAAAAAGGTAAAAGTTTTTTAAAAAAGGTAAAAGTTTCAAAAAAAAGGTAAAAGTTTCCAAAAAAAAGTAAAAATTTAAAAAAAAGTAAAAGTATAAAATCCCTCCTGGACGTTGTAATAACAAACAGTGGAACCTGCCTCTGGAGTGATAATGACAGAACTAAAACCCAAGGAAAACAATCAGTTCCTAAAAGCTGTTCTAAGTTTCTGGACTTAGCAGGGGCCTTGGTGGCTGTAGGATCTCACAAGCTGTTTGCCCACTGTCCCTCAGCAGGTGTTTCAAGCCCTGGTGGATCCAGCTGCATTTCAAAGCATCAAAATCAATTAGCTGATGGGTGTTTTTTGGGGGGTATTTTTCCAAGTGTGCTAGGTGGAAGACAAATGAATTTGCTCCATCTTCAAACGCCAGTGCCAGAGAAGGTGCTTCACCTGAAATGTTGCTCTGTCTGATGTGGAGAACTTTGAATTTCTCCAGAGGATCTGGTTGTCTCCCCACGAGCAAAACCCAAGGGAAAACAACTTTGCTTGATCTTTGAGAGTTCTGACTAGTTCTAGTTTGGTCAAAGTGACATGAGATCAGTTGCCTGCGTGGTGTCCTCTACCCCTTGGGAACAGGAGAAGCTATCACATGGTTCATCTTTGGTGCTCAGACCCTGCAGCCAAATTCTTGGCCGAGGTAAATTTATGGCAGTGAAAGAATCAGCCCATTGTTTCCAGTTATCCTCTTTGGAGTTTCTGTATTGCTCAATGTTGTCTAGTACTCTAGAAACTCTGGGATTTAAAACAACAACAAAAAAAAGTCATTACTGGTCCTATTTTCTGTGCCTCTCAGGCTGTGCAGCTGGGTTGCCTTAGTTACCACCAACCCAACTGTGCAAGGGGAGGGAGAGGCACAGGAGAAGAGAATACATTTTTAAAGCCTCCAATACTGTATGAAGCAGTTTCTCTATAAAAAAATTAGAGTCTGGCATCTTTGGGTTGTTCTGAAAAGGGGAAAAACAAGGTTATATTATTTAGCAGCCTGGATTTTCCAGCTCTCAGAAATTGTGCTGCATCTTTTTTGGTCAAGCATGGGATGCAGCTTTAAAAATGACTTGCTTGAAGCTGAAAGCTGCTGTGCATAGACTTCAAAATAAGTTTGGAAATGAATGTAGCTTTAAGGGTGAAAGAGAGTAAATATTTATGTAGCTGGTTTTAGGAGAAGTGATAGTGGCCTGAAGCTACAGAGGCAGAGGTAAGAGAGCCCGTGTGAAGCACGGTGAGCTGTGGGGCCAGCTTCATTTGTCTGCCAGGGGCTGTAAGTCCAGGAGAAAGCCAGCCTTGCCACTCGTGTGGAGCTGTCAATCCCTTCTTGCACCTTTGAATAAACACAGTTTCTCTGGACACAAATTCAGCAAATAGGAGGGAAAAAAAGGAGCTGCCCTGGAGCCTTTCCCTTTGGGGCACAGCAGGCCAGGCTCTGTGCCTTGACAGATGCCACCAGAAGGGCCCTTCCTTGTGCCCTTTCTTCTGGGGCAGAGAGGGAGGTGGGCAGGGTGGAGGTGAAGAGATCTGTCCTCTACCACCACAGATTGTTTCACTTTGTGTGTGTGTTTGTTTTCTGTGTTGTTTGGGGTTTTTTGGTGTTTTTTTTCCCCCTTCAGGGTTATTTTAACCACATCACCTCCCTTATTGTGATGGGCAGGTGAGACAGGCACGGGCAGGATGACAAAAAGTTCGTGGAGGTGTTTTTGCTGCTCGAGGAGAGGTGTGTTGGAGTTGCATCTTCATTCAGTTTGCAGCTCTTCTTCCTCTGGCAATGCTGAGCCAAGGATTTGTCTCAGTCAGGAACACATGAAGACCCTGGCATGCTGTAATTTGGAAAAGCTTCCCTCTGACTGTGTTTCAGTGCTCATTGGGACCTTGTTATCAATACCAGCTTAAGGAAGTCCTCCCCTCCTCTTGGGTGGGGTAAGAAGGGGTCAGGGGTGATGGGCAGGAGCTTATTGAGAAGTTCTTGCTGCCAAAGTCCCTCTGTTACCACACTGCAGACTCAGGTGCCACCCTATGGGGCTGCAGGTTTCAGCTGCTTCTCTGGATGTGCAGCAAGCCCAGGGAATGCTCCAGGCCTGGGAGTGAAGAGCTGAGGATGCACAGGTAGTAGCAAGAATTTGCACAGATATGGGGAACTGTAACTCAGGGATGAAGCCACAGTGTGAGTGTTAAGGCTGGGATTTTGTGAAAAACAAAAAAACATCAAGTGTAGGTGGAGAGGCAGACCCACCACACACAGGAGGCCTCCATGGGTGGTGAGAGGAACAGTTACTATTTCTGTGGTGCCTCTTAGTTCAGAGCTAGTGGAGAAAGGCTGCAGATCTCTTCATTTACCAGCAGTCCTCACATCATGTTTATGCAAGAATAGAATTCATCCAAAAAACTTCCAAACGTGGCCACGTACATCATATTTGCAAAGGTACCAAGTGGTGAAGTTGGTTATTCAGCACATTTGAAAGTCAATCTGCTGCTTTTAGGTAGCTGAGTAGGGATGGTGAGAGACTAGCTACAGACACTCTACTTTGGCTTGACAGGCATGTGAGACTTCACAAAATGGATCAGGCATCAAATGTTCCCTGAGAACAGAGGGAGGTTGTCTTATTTATTTTCAGAGGTGTTTCTGCAGTGTCTTTTCTTTCATCAGAAAGCTAGTTTAAGAAATGGCAAATGTTCACACATTTGTCCTAAATAAAATACACACGTTTTCCTGACAGAAACGCTTTCATCCTCAAAAACTTCATCTTGAATGGAAAAAGGAGAGAAGAAACCAGAAGGGAATATAATGATAATCATGCTACCCCATGCCAAACCCCCAAAGCTGCTTCATCAGTCCGTCCTCCTACTTGTTGCCCGTCTCCTCCTGAACACTACTTTGATTTTTCTCTCTAACTGCCTGTGCTGCTTTTCATTTTCTTTCAATCACTGCAGGCTACACCACCACCAAAGCAGAAGGGAGAGGTTCTCAGCCCTTGGTAAAACTTCCTGCAGTGCTGTTTCCCTCCTGGAGCTGCTGCAGTGCAGACTTGGAGACTCGAATGCCTCGCTAGGAATTCTCATTCAGCGCCATTCCCTGCCCTGCCAAACACCACGTGAGGCAGGAGTAAGAGTTTTACCCAGGGAGATTTGGCTGCTCTTGACCCTTGTTGGAGAAGGAATTCAAAATCCAGTGATTATGCTGTTAAGAAGTGCTTCTTGAGCTACATTAGAGACACCCAGCCCAGGCTTTTATCTGGTAGAGTCGGGATTCCTGCTCTGATTTGTTCTGGTAGTCACTGGTTAGGACCTGGAAATCTCTATCAGACACCCAAAGGCCACCCTGCAACGTACAAGGGCCTCCTTCCCCTCCCCAGGGCAATCCCAGGAATTCATTTGAGGGGTTTTTTGTTTTTTTTTTTTTGTTTCATAGGTATAGAAGTGAAAAGCAGAACTTGGACTGACCCCATATCATACGGTTGAGGAACTCCCCGAAGTTGTAGAAAGAGACGATGACAGCAAGGCTACCGGCGAAAAAGGCTGCTAGCCCTGCTGGGCTGAAGAGAGCAAAGAGGGGGTACACCCACTCCCCAGTCACAGAGTAAATCCACAGGACCCTGGGCAAGGAGAGAAAATGAAACTTTGGTTAGGACCATTCAGTTTGAAGAACCACTTCGTGATTTCTAACTCTCGAAGGGGCCAAGTTATCGAAACAATCTTGATGCGGAGGAAATGAGCTCAGGTGTTGATACATCTCCTCAGCATTGGGGCTGTTTGCTGGGAAGCATGCCTGAGCACTGAGCACTGGCCCAGGTTGCCCAGAGAGCTGGTGGATGCTCCATCCCTGGAGCCATTCCAGGTGAGGTTGGCCAGGGCTCTGAGCAACCTGCTCTAGTGGAAGCTGTCCCTGCTCAGGGGTTGGATCTAGATGACCTTTAAAAGCCCCTTCCCACCCAAACCATTCTATGATCTTGTAGTGACTTGTCAGTTCTCTGATATGACATGGACTAAAGAATATAAAAATGGTCTTTATATATTTTAGATATAGGAGAAAATATACATTTTCTCTGTAAAAATATATTTTTTTATTGGATTTGTAAAGAATATAAAAAACAGGGCAGGTTTCCAGTGACTCTCATGAGGATGTGCCATTCTAACAACAGGCAGCACTTCCCTCAAAAGAACCTTTGGGTCCAAAAAGTCTTAAAAGGTTTAATTCTTCCTTAAACACTCCCCCCAGGAGTATGTCATAATTCCCATGGCTGATGGTGATGTGGGAACACAATCCCACTCTGATGGCACCCAGCCTGCAACCTTGCACTGAGCATCACACCTCAAAGAGAAGTGACAAACAGGCTGCCCCACCAGCCTGGAACTGTGTCACCAAGCTGAGGCATGGGAGAGTGCTCAGGGAAAGAAAGAAAGCCTGAAAAAGATGATTTCTGCTTTCTCTAGCTAGAGAAGGAAGGGGTAAGGCATAAAAAAAAGGTGTTTTTTTGAAAGAGACTCACAGATCCCCACCTCAGGGGTAGAGTGGAGGGGTGGAGGTACTGAGGAGCTCGATGGTCCTGGTGGGACCTGGGCAGCTGGGGTGCCTCCTGTGGAACACTCCAACCTGTGATTTTTTATCTTGGGGCATACCTCCAGATTCCTGAAATTACTCATGGAAGGGTTGACAGTTTTTAGGTTTAGTTTTTTAGTGTTTTGGGTTTTTTTTTTTTGGCTAGGGATTTCAGGAAATGCACCCTACAACTTGCAAATAAATATGGCTTGTTGCTCACAGGTTAAATGTACGTGCAGGATTCAGAGGGTTTATTATTTGGAAGATTCCATTTTACCCAATTTTAATTTTTACCAAGGTTTTACCTTGGGTATCAGTGAATGAGTCAGACAATGCCCAGAATTATGGGGAGGGTAGACTGAGACAGCAGCCCTGGGTATGACCAAAGTTGCCAAACTATTATAGGATAGAGGATGGCATATAAATAACAGGGAGAGGTGATGTGCTGTCATCCTACTGCTGGATGCAACTGGGGATTTATCCTGTCCCCTCATTACCCATTTAAGTTAATGGGACCACTGCTTTCACTGGAGGCAGGAAAAACAATATCTCCATGAAAATATTAAATAGGAGGATCCAGAAAGGAGCAAAGAACATTGGCCACATATGAGCTCTCTGAGACTGCAGTTAATTCAAAATTAAAAGGTTTTGAACTGAAAATGAGCATGCAGAAAAGGAAAAATATTTTCCTTCCTACCAAAGAGGGGCTAGGGATATATTACAAGGAAGCCATCAGTCTCTAGATTTAATTGGGTTTGGGATTTTTTGTATTTTAATTTTGTCTATAGACTGCAATCTATAATGATTTATATCCCCTTGCAGAGGTTGCTTGAGCTTTTCTCTGAGGGCACACACAAAACTGTGCAGATTAAGATTTATTTTATGCTGATTTATTACCACTGAAATGGGAAAGGGCAATCTATTATTCCTTCCTTTTTAAAAATTTAAAATGCCAGTTCTTCCTTGTTCTGAACCTGATGGCTCCAGGAGTTAAGGCAGCACTGAGCACAACCAGGAGATGCAAGATCCAGCCTTGTGAGGATTAGCTGAGCTGCCTCATGGTTCCTGCAGCTGGAAGCCCCCTTTCCTTTTTGCACACTAGTGACACTCAGAGCTCTAGTGAAGCCCTGCTCAGAGGGCAGGGACCTGGGGCAGGGTGTCAGCAGCTCCTGGTTTCATCACTGCCTAGCAGGGACCAGTCAGTTCTCCTCCTGTTGACACTGGCCAAGGGGAAGCACGGTGATGACTGTGACAGTTCAAGGAGAGGCTTTTAGGAAGGAAAAAAACTGGTGTTTTTTTTTAGTTTTACACCATTAAACCAGTACACGTTAAGTGGGCAGATTCAGGCTGGACATGAGGAAGAAGTTCTTCCCCATGAGAGTGGTGAGACCCTGGCATGGGTTGCCCAGGGAGGTGGTTGAGGCCCCATCCCTGGGGGTCTTTAAGGCCAGGCTGGAGGAGGCTCTGGGCAGCCTGATCTAGTGGGAGGTGTCCCTGCTCATGGCAGAGGGGTTGGAACTGGGGGATCCTTGTGGTCCCTTCCAACCCTGACAGATTCTGATCTGTTTTAGCAGAGGACTTTAGAGCCCTAATGGCTCAAGGGTTGGACTTGATGATCTTGGAGGTCCCTTCCAACCTAAAGGATTCTATGATTCTATTTCAGTGCACAGGCTGAAAAAATGTTTCAGTTAGTTGGAAGCTGTTGCCTGAGGGTGCAGGGAACCGAGACAAGGAGTCAAAAAGAAAGCAGAGGGGAGGTTCCTTGCTGCCTCAGGAGGAGAGAAAGCAACAGGATTGAAACCCTGATATCTTTTCTCTAGTTACCAGGGCTGTGGGACACAGGGGACTAAGGGGCCACCTTCCACTCAGGGCCCTGGCAGCACCATGCAGCATCAATTCAGAGAAGATCCTGGATCTTCTGCTGTCAGAAGACAAGCAAAGCAAAGCTGCTGTTAAGCAACGGGGTGAACCAGAGCATAGACAAGGAATTTAGAAAGCTGTGGTTGTAATCCTCTTAGGCTCTGGGCTGGATTAGGAGAAATGGCTCCTAGCTTGGTTACCTAAGGTAGCAGTTCATTGCTTCCATGGCCACTCTGATGGGTTTCAAGTCACAAGAGCATTTCATTTGCCCAGTTGATTTTCTATTCCAGATTTTCATTCAGTGGGCTGGAGGTATTCTCTGGCTGAGAGTGAGAACTAGCAGGTAGGAATAAGGATGGCTTCCCTCCTAGTCCCAGTGACTCTCCAAAAATCTCTGCATGCTTCGCCCTGCTGACCAGTTGTTCTGTATCCTCCCCTCTAGGGCCTGGATGTTTCCTGAGCTCTGCAAAGTGATACTGGACCCTGAAGCTCCCTTCCTGAGCTGAGTCTCAAGGTGCAAGGCATCCTCAGAGTGGTCTGGAGTGCTGGCAGCTCCCCATGGAGTGGGGAGTGCCTCCAGACCCCAGCCAGCATGCCAGGAGCAGGAGCAGATGCAAACCCAGCTGATGGGGAGCATGACACACGCCCGAGGTGGGTGGATGGCTGTGGGCTGGGGTGGGGGAAGGCTGGGTAGGTAGTTTATTCTCTCAGGATCACCCTTCAACAGGTTGGAGATCATCTGTGGGACATAGCTGGAAATGTAGGCGGTGTCCAGCAGCGGGGTGGGAGGTTGTAGTGGGGCAGATGCCTCCTTGCTGCCCGTCACTTTGCACCTGGCTCTGAGTATCATTTTCTAGCTCAAGTTTCTAAACCCAGCCATGTGTCCCTGCCAAATACCAAACTGAGTTTTACTCCTCTTCTGCTCCCGTGACCCCCAGACCTTTGAGGTTTGGTGGGTTTGCAGCGAGCAAGACAGCAAGCAGAGGTAAATTTTGTGGTACTGGTAGAGATAAAAACTCTGGCCCAGCAGATGTAACTCAAAATACCCCAGAGTTTATGGCAATTTAGTTGCTTTTCTCTAAGGGGCTTTAGAAGGGCAGGAGGTGCTATGTATGCTCTCAGGACCTGTATTGTGCCTGAAGAAACCTGTGCTGCCTATGACTGGAGATGCTTTTCATGGGTCTCAGCTGAAGTTCAAATGACTTCTCCACAAAGCAGACTGCTGGCTCCCATGTGCCTGGGCTCCCCAGGTCAGGAGAGACAAGGAGCCACTGGAGAGAGTCCAGCAGAGGCTGTGAAGAAGCTGAGGGGCCTGGAGCATCTCTGTGCTGAGGAAAAGCTGAGAGCCCTGGGGCTGGTGAGCCTGGAGAAGACTGGGAGAGGATTTGATCAATGCTCATCAATAGACAAAGGGCA